TCACGAGCTCAGTATTACTGCACTCAAGCTGACACTGTCACCCAATTGGGGATGTCGAAAAGGGGGTCAGTTCAAAATATGGCTCGACACAGTTCGTCAGGACATGGAGGCGGTTCCTTGACCTTCAGTATTCGGTCTCCGTCGCTGGAGAAGAGAATGGTTCAACTGTTCAGATCTGCTGCTGCGGATCGTTGCGCGTGGAGAAGTACGATTCGGGACACAATCGTTGACGGCTAGATCAGTCATGATTGCAGTCGTAACAAGTACAAGTAAGTAAGTACAGACGCATTTCCTTCACGAATGGATGCAAATATGCGAGCCCCAGATTGTTTTTGCACAAAAGATGACGGTGGGATCACTAGGACAGCACTTGTATTTGCCTGAGATTTCGGTTTCGTATAAGTAGCCCTCTTCAGATACAATGAGAGTGAAATGCGCAGTTCACATTGCAGTGAACTTGAGGAACGAATGCAAGAACTTGCACGCTACTTCACAGAAACGGAAACCCAGAAGCTGAGAGTAGACCTGCCTTCATAACCGATGTGTTTTTATAAGAACCTCTAGATTTTTGAGTATTCCGTTAATTTATCCTGTGGTCGCAGTGAAACGAACTATTTTTTTTCTGAAAATGTTGGATGTCAACTTCATAATAAAACGTATTTCCCTCTCGAATGGGAACGAATATGCGGGCCCAAGGCTCTTGTTGCAACTAGGATGAAGACGCAACCACATTTTACTTCATTTTTTTATTTGTCTGAGCTTTCGGCTTAGCAGAAGAGGCCACATTCTGAAGTAATGAGAGTACAGGAAGATTTGAAGTGCTTTGAATTTCAGCTACGAGAAAATGGGGTTGAGGGTGTTACATTCGTGGTAGGGATTAGTCCAAGACCATGTGATCTAAGGCATCTTCGGGGCCAACTGACAAGGAATGGATACCCGAACACCTTCGTCAGCCGTTGTCTCCGTACGCGACCACGGTGAACAAAAGGAGGAAAGCCACTAACACACTGACACTCTCTACCGTACACAATGTGTCAGAAGCAATATAACGTATCGCTGCAGAGCTCGGCGTGGGTATTTCCCATTTTCCGACAGCTACCGTGCATTCGCGGATTATGCAAACAGAAGACCAGCTGGAGATAGGTGAGCAGTCTGACGTCGTTTATAATGTGCCGTGTCGCGACTGTTGTTGCTATTATACATACAGGGCAGACCGGGCGACCACGAATAAGAGAGCAAAAACGGGCAGTTCGGAAAGGCGACCCACTGTCCCAGATCGCTACCCACACCCTGGAGGAAGGCCGCTAATTCAACTTTGCAGACACACAGATAATGGTATGAAGCGGTAATAAGATGGAGCAAGAACTACTGAAGGCCTGGGTATCTTACGCCAACTCCACCAGCAGACATACAGCAATAACTCCCTACTATCATGTTCTTCGTTCGCGCGACCAAAAAGCGCGACTCGGTTCTCAGACAAGAATGCACGCCGTGACGACGGCATGGAGTAAACCTATCACAAATACTAACACCACCCCTCCCCCACATTTTTTTTCTCGTAGCTGGAATATAGAACACGTCAATTCTTGCTGCAATCTCATTATTTCTGAAGATGAAAGCCGAAAGCCCACGCAAATATATGTGCTTTTCCAGTGATCACGCCTCCATCTCTGTTTTACAACATTTCCTTCACTTATTTTCGTTTTGGTTTTTTTCTAATGCCACATATAGAAAAAAAACGTGGTAGTTTTGAAAGAATGTTTTTCTGAGACAAGATTACATCCCGTTTCAACCGCCTGGATAATCATAACTCTCACATACACTATAGCTCGAAAAAAAATCGGTTCGTGCAAGATCAGCTTGACGAAGACAACAAGCACGACGCCAGCAGGCATTGCGTCAATTCGCCGATCAAGTGACGAAACCATAACTTTATTGCAGCCGGGGTTGACGACCACGTGACTAGCGAATCGGTAGTTATGGTGAATGGGGCACTGTCTAGTCAAAAATAACTGCGAACTAACGAAAAATGTGAACAACTGGATGTATGAAAAGTACAGTTTTAAAGAAGGTCACGGGGTGCGTTTCAATTTAAACTAAGAGAAGAAGTAAGAAGCCAGTTTTGTGCACAACCGTGCGCGTTTTACAGGTTTTTTGGTTCGCCGGTTCTCGAAGTCGACCAAGTCCTTCACCCATGAGTTATCAAAACGGCCGTTTATCGAAAAAGAGCGATCAATTGAGGCGGACAATATAAATAAATGCTTTCTATTGAACATGCATCACTCTGCCTAAGGATACAAAGATGGTGGGGTTCCAAACTTCTCAAAAATCGCTTTTTATACAAAAGCCATTCTTTCTGTTAATTCACATGAAGTTGAAAAGTAAGCGGGCTGAAAGTGCAGCTCCGTGTGGAATTCAGTTATACAGGCATTGTGAAGAGCTTAGATCTCAGCCTGTCATCTCAAAACTGACCACGGATGGGATGTCAAAAGCCT